GACATGAAGAGAGCTGGGACCACAGTTTCAAAGGTCACTGTCGGTAGAACACTACGCCGTCATGGTTTCAAATCATGCATTGCACAGAAGGTTCCCCTGCTCAAGTCATCACATGTCCAGGCCCGTCTGAAGTTTGCCAATGACCATCTGGATGACCCAGAGGAGGCATGGGAGAAAGTCATGTGGTCAGATGAGACCAAAGTAGAACTTTTTGGTCTAAACTTCACTCATCGTGTTTGGAGGAAAAAGAAGGCTGAGTTGCATCCCAAGAACACCATCCCTACTGTGAAGCATGGGGGTGGTAACATCATGCTTTGGGGGTGCTTTTCTGTGAAGGGGACAGGACGACTGCACTGTATTAAGGACAGGATGAATGGGGCCATTTATTGTGAGATTTTGAGCAACAACCTCCTGACCTCAGTCAGAGCATTGAAGATGGGTCGTGGCTGGGTCTTCCAACATGACAACGACCCGAAGCACACAGCCAGGATAACCAAAGAGTGGCTCCGTAAGAAGCATATGAAGGATCTGGAGTGGCCTAGCCAGTCTCCAGACCTAAATCCAATAGAACATCTTTGGAGGGAGCTGAAACTCCGTGTTGCTCAGCGACAGCCCCAAAACCTGACAGATCTAGAGGAGATCTGTGTGGAGGAGTGGGCCAAAATCCCTGTTGCAGTTTGTGCAAACCTGGTCCAGAACTACAGGAAACGTTTGACCTCTGTAATTGCAAACAAAGGCTTCTTTACCAAATATTAACACTGATTTTCTCAGGTGTTCAAATACTTATGTTCAGCAGTGCAAGACAAATAAATTCTTTAAAAATCATACAATGTGATTTCCTGAATTTTTTTTTAATTCTGTCTCTTAGACTGGGAATGCACCTACAATGTGAATTTCAGACCCCTCCATGATTTCTAAGTGGGAGAGCAAAATCTGAGGGTGTTCAAATACTTCTGTTCCTCACTGTATATCCAATCACTATGTATCCAGTCAGGCTAGCCTTTGCACTACATAGTTGATGTTAGATCTCAGGAAGATTGTGCATTCAGATTGTATAGTTCATGGCGAGCATTACAGACTTCCAGGGACATACTTCTCCTGTTTTCAATACTACAGCTTCCTAGATTGTAAGCTCGAAAGAGCAGGGCCCTCGAACCCCTCTTGTATCGCATTGTATTTTTATTGTACTGTCGCATGTATTGTCTCCCATTGTAATGTACAGCGCTGAGTGAACTGTTGGCACTTTATAAATACTGTATATAATAATAATAATAATATAATAATACAGCTCTGCTTCACATGTTATATGATGGCCTCCACCTCCAAATGAACAGCATTCTGCCAAATGAACAATATATGTAAGAAGAAGGTAAGGTACAAAATGAACAGAGGACACTGGCTATGTATTGAGGGAGAACAATGCTCACTGACTCTGACTACAGAGGGGGGCGGGATCAATCTCCTGGAGGGGGAGGGCAGGTGCACGCTGTGTGTTCATGAGGTCAAATGCTGAAGTACTCACAATACTAACAGTTTTCAAATCCTAAAGGATGGATACCAGGAAGCCATAGTGGAGTTTAGGCGGTAATGCCTGCCCTAGAATATAGGAACAGCTTTTTGTTTTCTGCAACATGGATAAATTAATGGTATATTTGTACATAGAAATGAATTAGTCTTTAATACTTGATTCTGTTGGAGGACTCACATTTCCAGGTTTGGAGTATTATTTTCCTACCATAGAAAAACAATATTATATAAGAGTGTGATTTTATATGACTAGGGATTTGGAGTTTGCCAAAGATACAGAATAGGAAGTTCCTGGGGTTGAAGATGTTGGGTGATCCTTGGAACGTTTCTATGAAGTTATTAGAATTGTTGAAAGTATCACCAATCCCCAAAGAAGATGGCGGAAATCTGTGGTCTGCTCACATCTCCTGAAACTAAAGGCGAGGCACATAGACCAAGTTTATGTAAGTTTAGCAGTATTAAGCATTTTTACTGCCACCACAGAAGGGAAAGTTACAGAGCAACAAACATTTCATCTGGGCTACATCATATTTACTTGGCCCCAAATTTGTTTTTTTTATATGGCCTTGTTCTGTTCCCTGCATAGTACATGTACTATATATTACACTTTAAGAAGACATTCTCTTTGAACTCTGTATTCTTTAAAAGTCATTGAGTCATTAAGAAAAGTTGAATTATTAAAACATAGCACAACTACCTAATTTAATTAATCAAATCCCCATTTTTAACAGTTATCTGGAGCATCATGTTTTACATTCCAAGTCTTTTCTACTAATAACAGGGTCTATCAATAGCTTTGGTTGTGCTTTGCCATGTTTTCTCTTTGATGTTTAGCTGAAGGGCTGCAGCAGATGAAGAACTGAGTACATGTTTGTCTACACAAGTGTGCAACTTTTAACTTAAGTCCAGGCACACTAGGCAGATTTTCTAAACAGTGAGCGTAACCTCTGCTTTAAATTCTCCCAGCATGAAGCAGCTGAAACAAGTTCTTTGTTTTACTTGCAGAGGTCTCTCCATTTAGAAGCTTGTTCCCACTATGCCTGGTGCATGGGAAGGATCACATTTGGGCCTTGTGTAGATCTGGATTTGAGATGCTAGTCTTCATTTTTATGTTTTCATTCTGAATAACTTTAAAAGTAATACTGATCGAATTATATGTAAAAAATAAAAATATGGCATATAGTAAACAATTGAAAAAAACTCTATATTAAAGTATTAGATGTATTGTCATAAATATAAAACCTGTCACAAAAAAATCACAGGAAATAAGCCTCTAAGTAGACACTGCATACCGGTCAATTTTTGGAGATAGGAAGTAGGACATCTTTCCATGTAAAATATTTATAGCAGAAAAATGTGCCCTTGTCATACCCCTGCCATTTAAGTCGTAAAGACTTCAGATATTCAATGACAGTAAACAAAGGGACACCATGCAACCACATACCACATAACCAAGAATAACATAAACAGAGAGGTACTTTTTACATTGCTTCTTTTACGAAATGCCAGTATTTGAACCTAAAAAGGGAAATTCTTTAGATAGTTAATACAAACGATATCATATAAATGCGTTGTTATCAAATTATATAGATCTGTATTTTATAACAAAAATAGGAACAAGCTCTGTATGAGGGACAGAGGGATTTAAGAACTTCCTTCCAAGTGAGGGACAGTTGAAGCTATGGTTACCCGAAGGTAACACTTGTTTGTAAATTTTCTGCTACCAGATGCCACGGAAGCACCTGAAACTTAGGTGCCCCACAGGCTGCAACTTATTACAGTGGCTTGAAAAAGTATTCACACCCCTTGAAATTTTCCACATTTTGTCATGTTACAACCAAAAACCTAAATGTATTTTATTGGGATTTTATGTGATAGACCAACACAAAGTGGCACATAATTGTGAAGTGGAAGGAAAATAAAAAAATGGTTTTCAAAATTTTTTACAAATAAATATGTGAAAAGTGTGACGTGCATTTGTATTCAGCCCCCCGGAGTCAATACTTTGTAGAACCACCTTTCACTGCAATTACATCTGTAAGTCCTTTTGGGTATGTCTCTACCAGCTTTGCACATCAAGAGAGTGAAATTTGTGCCCATTCTTTGCAAAATAGCTCAAGCTTTGTCAGATTGGATGGAGAACGTCTGTGAACAGCAATTTTCAAGTCTTTCCACAGATTCTCAATTGGATTTAGGTCTGGACTTTGACTGGGCCATTCTAAGACATGAATATGCTTTGATCTAAACCATTCCATTGTAGCTTTGGCTGTGTGTTTAGGGTCATTGTTCTGCTGGAAGGTGAACCTCCGCCCCAGTCTCAAGTCTTTTGCAGACTCTAACAGGTTTTCCTCTAAGATTGCCCTGTATTTGGCTCCATCCATCTTCCCATCATCTCTGACCAGCTTTCCTGTCCCTGCTGAAGAAAAGCATCCACACAACAGATGCTGCCACCACCATGTTTCACAGTGGGGATGGTCTGTTTAGGGTGATGTGCAGTGTTAGTTTTCCGCCACACATAGTGTTTTGCTTTTAGGCCAAAAAGTTCAATTTTGGTCTCATCTGAACAGAGCACCTTCTTCCACATGTTTGCTGTGTTCCCTACATGGCTTCTTGCAAACTTTAAATGGGACTTCTTATGACTTTCTTATAACAATTACTTTTTTTGCCACTCTTCCATAAAGGCTAAATTTATGGAGTGCACAACGAATAGTTGTCCTGTGGACAGATTCTCCCGCCTGTGCTGTGGATCTCTGAAGCTCCTCCAGAGTTACCATGGGCCTGTTGGCTGCTTCTCTGATTAATGCTCTCCTTTCCTAGCCTGTCAGTTTAGGTGGACGGCCATGTCTTGGTAGGTTTGCAGTTGTGCCATACTATTTCCATTTTCGGATGGTGGATTGAACAGTGCTCTGTGAGATTTTCAAAGCTTGACATTTTTTTTTTAACCTAACCCTGCTTTCAATTTCTCCACAACTTTATCCCTGACCTGTTTGATGTGTTCCTTGGCCTTCATGATGTTGTTTGTTCACTAATGTTCTCTAATAAGCCTCTGAGGATGTCACAGAACAGCTGAATGTATACTGAGATTAAATTACACACAGGTGGACCTTATTTACTAATTAGGTGACTTCTGAAGGCAATGAGTTCCACTAGATTTTAGTTAGGGATATCAGAGTAAAGGGGGCTGAATACAAAAACACGCCACACTTATCAGACATTTATATGTAAAATATTTTGAAAACCATTTATAATTTTCCTTCCACTTCACAATTATGTGCCACTTTGTGTTGGTCTATCACATAAAATCCCAATAAAATACAGAAAGTTATAGCATTTACAAATGGTAGTATATACAATGGAATTTTTTTTTTACTGCTAATGGCGGAAATCAGCGACTTATAGCGGGGGACTGCGGCGGGCAATCTGACACGGGGGGGGGGGGGGGGGAACTGACTTGGTGTCACAGACATCCCCAGTGACACCAATCAGTGCTAATAAAAAGTACTGACACTGTACTAATGGCACTGGGCAAGAAGAGGTTAACATGTGGGGCGATCAAAGGATTAACTGTGTGCTGTTTTACTATGTGGCCTGTGTGTGCTTTACACTGTAAACACACTGCTTTGTATGGCTCTGCTATGCAGAGGCATACAAAGCAGTGTGCAGGAGCTGAGAGGGGAGAGATCTGTATTGTTTATATACAGGTCTCTCCCCTATTGGTAACACTCGGAGATCGCCGGGTGCCAGGGTGTAATCACCGTCCGGGACCTGGTGATTGACAGCCGAAATGTGGCACGGGTAGGGTGCGCACGCTCCCTACCCAGAACTGTAAAATCACGTATATATACATGATTTTGTGCACTCGTGCCGCCCTGTAGCAGTATTTCTGCTATAGGGCGGGGCAGAAGAGGTTAAACAGGTTTATGACTCAAAAAAGGTGAGCAAATACTGCTTTAAGGGGACAAACAAAGGTCTAAGTATCACTGCTATGGTGTAATAATGATTAATGCATACCCCTAGTTCATCGTATATATCGAATTAATTAAAATGCTTTCCCATTGGATTTATTTTAGAGGCTAAAGTGTACACACAGAATAGACAGCTTTGCAGACAGCAGCGGCCTACCTGGTAATCTAGTTTTAGTGTTTCTGCTGCAGGGAACTGGCCATACATATTAATGAAGTGCATTGGCTGTCTGCTGTCCCATGCTCAGCAAACTGTATTATAAATTATAATGAAGAAACAATTCAATTAAATATAATACCAAATGTTAATGTAACCACTTAGTTTGGTATTCATTTTAATGGAAAACTATTGCATTTATTTGGTGTAAATGTAACGTGCAACGATATCATTCTTTTTTTTAGTACTTTTTCTAATCTGTTTCTTGTCTCTCCCCATCTGTGTTTCTACCCCTCTCCGCATCCCCTGCTCTCTCTCTTTCCATCTCCTTCCACCTGCTAGCATAATAGGAATATTTAAATTAAAAATATCTTCAGCAGCATAAAGTTCTTGTAAGTGTTTACACTGTAGGATGCCGGTGCATCTCCTCTAATACGATGTTAGAGTTGCATTTTGCAGGATTGTGTCCTTCCAGCCTGCTGTGTTTTTACACTGCAGCATTTGCTGACTCCTCTGTCTTGTCATATATCACTCAGAATGCTCTGCAGTATCTCTGCAGTGTAACCAGCTTGTGCTATTGCCAGCCTCCTGACTAATCCAATATGACCTATGAAGGTCTAGATAAAATGCACAGGACGGCCTTTTTTTCTTCCTATAGGCTGCCGTTGCATAGGGATGTGTTATACGACACATATTAACCATTCATTGCTGATAATACAACAAAGGTTACACCAAGAAATTGAAAAACATCATCATGTTTGCATTTTGCATCAGGAATAGTTTGCATTCTTTAGGGAAATTCTGCATCAGGAATATTGAAGGTGAAGCTAACCCATGTTCCCCTCCCCCCCTTCTTGTCACAGTCTCTGCCCAGTGCGTACACAGGCATACAAACATGATACAATCTTGCATGTCCATGGACAAGTCATTAAAAAAAACAATTCATCCATATATGGATTCTGCCTGCATATTATCCTCTGTCTATAGCCAGCTTCAAGTCAAAAGTGGTTGTCATCTACTAACTCTGGGTGTGGCCAAATGGAGTTTAAATAATTCTGGCTTTCAGTATCTATGATCAAAATGCACCTTCAACCAAATGTGACTATTAAACAAGCTTCTAAAGTGGCTTTTCACAATCTTTTTTCTTTCAGGTCTTAAGGCAGAGCTCCAGACACAATATGAAAAATAAAATAAAAACAAAAACTGTAGCTGCTGATTTTTAACCATTTGCCATCCTGAGGGTTTACCCCCCTTAATGGCCAGGCCTCTTTTTTCTATTCAGCGCTGCACTAATTCAACTGAAAATTGCGCGGTCATGCAATGCTGTACCTAAACGAAATTTCCACCCTTTTTTTCACAGAAATAGAGCTTTCTTTCAGTGGTATTTGATCACCTGTGCGCTTTTTATTTTTTTCGCTATAAACAAAAAAGGCCAAAAATTTTGAAGAAAAATTTTATTTTTTACTTTCGGCTATAAAAAATATGTAGTAAACTCAAAGTTAGTTATAAATTTCGGCCAAAATGTATTCTTCTACATGTTTTTGGTAAAAAAAAATCCCAGTAAGTGTATATTGATTGCTTTGTGTGAAAGTTATAGCATCTATAAACTATGGTATAGATACTGCAATTTACGCCATTTTTTTGCTATACAGCGCTGCACTAGTTTAACTGACAATTGTGCGGTCATGCAATATGGTACATAAATTAAATTTACGTCCTTTTTTTCACACAAATAGAGCTTTCTTTTGGTGATATTTTATTTTTGGCGCTATAACCAAAAAAATTTGAAAAAATTTGAAAAAAAAAAAAACTATATTTTCTCATTTCTGTCATAAAAAATATCAAAAAAACTAAAATTTCATCATAAAATTTAGGCCAAAATGTATTCTGCTACTTTTTTTTGGTTAAAATAATCCTAATAAGTGTATATTGATTGCTTTGTGGGAAAGTTATAGAATCTACAAACTATAGTATAGATAATGGAATTTACACAGCTTTTACTTTCTGACTGCCTATCATTTCTTGAGGTGCTAAAATACCAGGATAGTACAAACACCCCCAAATGACATCTTTTTGGAAAGTAGACACCCTAAGCTACCTGCTGAGAGAAATATTGTGTCCATGGAAGATTTATTTTTTTTCCACGTTTTGGAAAATGACAAAAACATTTGATAAGAAGCATGGTGAGTGTCACGTACCTGAATAGTGAGCCTGATGTGAGGAGGCAGGCCCCCCGTACAACTCCGGCTCAAGGACCGCTGATGGTGAGACAGCGGTCACAGGTGCACCGTGGGGTATGGGTGTCTGAGATCAGTCCGGTAGCAGCTGGTGGGCTGATGAGTTGCAGGCCAGAGCAGGGTACAGACGTAGCCATGCGGGATGGATGGATGCTGGAGCACAGTGTGCTGAGAATGCAGGGTCGGACGATCCGGGTTCGATATTGGTGAGGCAGATCAGGCTTATAGCGGCAGGAGGAAGAGTAGTCGGGTCACAGGCCAGGTTCAGTAACAGAAGATCAATCAGACAGGAGCAGGCAGAAGAGTAATCCGAGGACAAGCCAGAGGTCAGGGCAGGAGGCAATCAAGCAGAAGTCAGGAACAGGCTGGTTTGGCAACAGGAATCAATCACAGAAATCAGGAAACACGAGCAAGAGAAAAGACTATACGGCAATGAGATAACCACAGCAGACAGTTTGAATAGCCCTCTTGGCAACAGCATTAGTGACAGGCGCGCGCCCGCATGTGCGAGGGCGCAGGCGCGCGCGCAAGTGCAATCCTGACATTTCAGGGCCTCCGAAACTGTGATATGTAGTCAGGAAGTGTAATGAGGAAATAAAGCCCTTTAAAAGCCTGAAGGTGCTTATTGGATTTTGGGGTCCTGTGCTTGGCTAGACTGCCAAAATGTCTCTCATATGTGGTACCACCATACTCAGGAGAAGTAGCAGAATGTATTTTGTGGAGTAATTCCACATATACCCATGGCATGTGCGAGCAATAAATCATTTAAGTGATAATTTTGTGTAAAAAAAAAAAAATTTAATTTTTTTGTCATTTTCGAAAAACTTGTGGTAAAACAATAAATTCTTCTATTGACTCAACATGCCTCTCAGAAAATAGTTTGGTGTGTGTTTTTTGGGGGTGGGGGCATTTTATGCCCAGCATTAGAAGTTTATGCCACACATCATTCACTCTTCTAACCTGAAGACCAAGCCTTTTCTGACACTTTTTGTTCACATGACAAAAATCTGTATTTTTTTGTTAGGAATTTACTTTGAACCCCCAAACATTATATATTTTTTTAAAGCAGACACCCTAGTGAATAAAATGTGGGTGCTGCAATTTTTTATGTCACATAGTACTCGTGCAGCGATTTTTTTAAATGCAAATTAAAAAAAAAAAATACACTTTACTTTTAATACACAAAAACAGAATATATTGGCCAATTATTTGGTAAAGTATAAAAGATGATCGTATGCCAAGTAAATAGATGCCAAACAAGACATGCTTTAAAACTGTGCATGCCCCATGCAATGGCAACAAACTGCATACATTTTTAATATCCATAGACAATGCTTTAAAAGCCTTTACAAGCTACCATTTATGATTTACAGAGGAGGTCTAGTGCTAGAATTACTGCCCTCGATCTTACGTTCCTCACATGCGTGGTGCAACCACTGTTTACATACTGGCACAGGGTCAACGCTCGCACACGCAGAGGGGCAAGGGTGCTTTTTTTAAAAGTTTAGATTTTTAAAAATTATTTTTACATTGTCCCTTTCATTTTTTTTTTTTTATCACTTTTAATGCTATCACAGGGAATGCAAATATCCCTTATAACTTCAATGGGCATTGTCATATATTTTTTTTTTGAGAAATCTGGGGTCTATCAGACTCTAGATATCTCCTCTGCCCTTGATCAGATGCTTTCCCAATTTACAAATGGTGCTGTTTATATCCTGCGAACCTGAAGTGATGAAATGCTCGAAGCTTCTGATTTCTTAGACTATAGAGATGATTGGCACCATTCCGGTCTCCAATCAGCTCTATGGTCAGCTGGCAGAAACACTGGCTGCATTCTCAGGTTTCCCCGATGGCATGGGACTGCCCGAGAAGGCCATGGAAGGCAGCGGGGGAGGGGGTGCATCGCTGCTTGTAAAAGCAATCCTGCAGCTAATTAGCCACTAGGATTGCTTTTGCATGATAGCTGATTGCCAGCTGAAAAAAAAAACTGTTACCAGGATGATGCCTGCAGCTGTAGGCATTATCCTGATATAACCATTTAAAGTCCAGTGATGTACCAGTACGTCGCTGGTCCTTGTTGGGTATATATGCTATGTTCCTTTTTTTTTTGTATGCAGCCTGTGGGCTGAATGAAAAAAAGAGAACAAATCTCTGCAAGAAAAAGTGTGTGGTATGCCCACCATTAGAATATACCTTCCTGCATCCACCCACTTCTAATGGTGTGCACACATTAGGTCGCACGGTGCCACATTAGCCAATTCCAAGATTGTACAAATGTCTAAATAGTGGTACGCTTGAATAAAAATTGTCCACATATAAGTAGTACCCCATATGGAAAAAGGATGACACCAAGTCCCAAACTATCTTGCTATTGCTCCCCATGTAATCTGGGCTTCTTTTCACTTGTAAATCCAAAACTTATATGTATAGCCTGTTGCCTTTTCACAGGTCTTGACCCCATATCTGGCACGCTCGCTGGGGAGAAATTGTTTGAATGTAAGGCGGACAGAAAAATTAATGATGGACTTTTTGCTGGGGAGTATAGACATCTGCAAATGTTTGGTTAAGGTGATTTACGAGGGGCCGAATTTTGTGGAGCCGGCCAAATTCAGGGTCACCCGGAGGACGACAGAGTGCATTATCATTGAAATTCATAAAACACATTATACTCTAATATCTATGCCTGGCCATGGCAGCAGGGAACACGGGCATATGATGAATCGGGTCTGTGGACAAATACAACCGCAATTCATTTTTTTTAGTAATACCGATGTTGAGGGTTAGGTCCAAAAAAACGTTAAATTCAGAAACCGTCATAGGTTTCCACGTGAATGGTCTGGAAAGGTTTGAATTTGGGTTGGCGGCAATAAATTGTTGTGCATATAAATTGCTTTGATCCACAATCAATGCATACAGATCTTCCGTGAAAAATGGTGGGATCAGCGACTTATGGCGGCGATCAGCGACTTATAGCAGGACTGTGGCGGGCATTCTGACACTGGGGGAACTGACTTGGTGTCACTGACATCCCCAGTGACACCAATACAGTGATCAGTGCTAAAAAAAGCACTGACACTGTACTAATGGCACTGGGCAGGAATGGGTTAACATGAGGGGCAATCAAAAGGTTAACTGTGTTATGGGAGTGTTTTACTAGGGGGCTTGGGTGTGTGCTTCACTGTAAAGCACACTGATCTGGATGGCTGTGCTCAGCAATCCCGAGCAGTGTGCCCAAACTGACAGGGAGGAGGGTTGTTGGTAAACAATGCAGCCCTCCTCCCTGTCAGTGATCGCCAGTAATCACCGGGCACCGGCGGGTAATCACCAGCCGAGACCCGGTGATTGACATCCAGGTGCGGGTGGGGCGGCCACATGCCTCGCTCGCCCCCCCTACCCAGAAATGCAGAACCACGTTTATATACGTGGTTTTGCACAGAAGGCCCGCCCTGCAGCAGTAAATGTACTGTGGGTGAGCCTTAAGCGGTTAAAAAACAGACACTTACCCGTCCCTCGGCTCAGCGGGATTCTCACCACAGACGTCCTCCCTCTCCTGCATTTTCAGTGTGGGCACCCAGCTGTGATAGCTTGTGTCTTCAAAGCCAGGTGCCCACTGTGCATGCATGAGTAGCTCTGAGCTTTCTGAATGGTCCCGTAGTCTTCTGAGACCTGTCACATGTCCCAGAAGACTACGGGAAGGGAAAGGGGAGGACAACCTCCGTTTCCAATTGCCTAGGTGATCACAGCACAAGTGGGGGTGGGTACCTGTCAAAATCAGGGTACCCACTCCCCTCCTGCTCACCAAAGTTGCCAATCCTTAACGGGAAGTGGGGGATGAGCCCTTAAAGTGGAACTTCCCCTTTTGGGTGGAGCTCCGCTTTAAGCTAGCCATATGTGGGACAAAATTCAGCCAGTTCAGCAGGGACCAGATTTAATTCATGTATGTCAATTTCCATAGCAGAGAAGGCAATCTAATGATCAACTTTAATCGATCTGGCTTGTCAAATTTTTCTTCAATCAGGGCAGCAGCCAATTCGCTGCAGTGCTGATCAATGTATTCTGACAGTGGAGGCTTCTAACTGGAGGACTCTAACTGATCCATGTATGGTCAGCCTTAAGCCAGCCATATATGGATCACAGCCAGTTCAGCATGGACCTGCCAAGATTTGATCCATGTATGGGCAGGAAGATTCTACACAAATAGAACCATCGATCAACTTGGGTAAAAAACCAGCCAGTCGGATTCTTTTACATTTGATTACTGCCGGAAGCTATAGCCGCTAGCAGAAATCATTGTGTTTTGCCAGCCGGGAAAACACAATAGTACTGTGGAGGGCAGCACTAATTATATTAATGGGGGATTCAAGGGAATTTCTTTTCTTTCCAATTGTGATGGGAGGAAAGAAAATCAAGTCATCTATGGCCTGCTTTATGCATTAAGTCTTTTGACGTATTAGCACAAACTGTAAGTTGAAGATGTAAAAATCAATACAAAATTATGGAATGTGATGAATTTGGCATATTTGACAACCAAGACTGCTCTATATGACGAAATTATATTTACTGTTAATGAAATGAAACAAATAATAACTATGGCTATGCTCTCTTTCGAAGAAAGAAACAGAAAGGTGGTGGTGTCTGTCTCCATTTGAGAAGTGATCTAAAAGCAAGCATGAAAGAGAACCTAGTGGATGTAGAGTGTGATGAGGCTGAAGCATTATGGGTGGAACTGCATATGGGTGTGAGTACTTCAAAGTTAATTTTTGGAGTATGTTACAGGTCACCCAGTGTTAATGAGGAGGTGGAGACTCAGCTCCTTGCACAGATAGAAAGGGCTGCAAGGACTGGGATAGTGATAATAATGGGGGGGGGGGTTTAACTACCCTGATATTGACTGGGTAATGGCACTACTGAAACAATTAACGGGCAAACATTTACAAATCTGTTACAAAACAATTTTATGGTACAGTTCGTAGAGACCCCAACTAGAAATGATGCTCTGTTGGACCCGGTAATCTCAAACCATGCTGAGCTTATTACTAATGTTCATATAAAAGAACATCTGGGTAGCAGTTACCATAAGGTGATTTAATTTAATGTTAGCTGTAAAAAAACAAACACATACAGGAAAGACAAAACATTTAACTTTAGGAGAGCAAATTTCCTAAAGATGAGGGTTGCTCTCCAAGCCTGGGAGGGAATATTGATATCGAAGATTACAGAAAAGAAATGGGAATTCTCCAAAACGACTGTATGGGAACACACTGCAAAATATATTCTCATGGAAAATAAGTTTAAAAGGCTAAAAAGAAAACTATGCAGCTCATGGCCAAAGTTAAAAAGCTTTAAATAATAAGAAAACAGTTTTTGAAAAATGTAAAAGTGAAGGAACACTATCATCATTTAATTGTTACAAGGAATATGTAAAAAGGAAATCCAGGTCTCAAAAATTCAAAATGAACAACAGATTGCAAAAGAAAGTAGGACAAACCCCCAAAAATTCTCCAAATATACTAGTAGCAGAAAGGTCAAGCCTGAACATGTAGGCCCTTTACAAAATATTCTTCAATGGGTGACTGGGGACAAATAGAAGGCAAATTTATTAAACACCTTCTTCAATTGTGGAGCATGGAGGAGCTCAAAATTGATATGGTCCAAAAATATTTAGAAAGAATAAAAGGTGAACAAAGCAACTGGGCCAAATGGCTTACACCCTAAAATAATTGAGCTCTGTCACTTCAAAGCAGTTGTTTCTAATATTTAGGGATTCTTTAATGACTGGCATAGTACCTCTGGATTGGTGTAAGGTCAGTGCAGTGCCAATATTTAAAAAGTGATAAGCCTCTTTACCAACTAACTACAGACCTCTTAATTGAACGTCTATGGTTGGGAAGATACAGGAGAGTTTAATAAAAGAGCACATAGATGAGTTATTGCTAGAAAAAATATTTTAAGCAATAAGCAGCATGGTTTCATAAAAGACCGAAGTTTTCAAACAAATTTCTTTTTATGAGGCGGTAAGAAAATCTTTAGGAGTGACTGAAGGAGTGGCTGTGGATGTAGTATACTTAGATTTTGCAAACATGTTTGACACAGATCCCCACACATGGCTAATGTATAAGGTAATGTGGGCGGACCTTAAGCGGTTAAAAATCAGCTTGTAAATGGTTAGAAAACTGGCTAAAAGACCATATTCAGTGAGTACTGGTTAACGATTCATACTTTGAATAGTCTAAGGTCATTAGTGGTGTACCCCAAGATTCAATGTTGGGACCCTTACTTTTTAATATGTTTATAAATGATTTAGGGTCTGGGATTAAAAGTCCAATTTCAGTCTTTGCAGATGACACAGTGGAATAACACACTTACAGGATGTCTCCAATTTACAAACTGATCTCAATGCACTGTTTATTTGGGCAACTATGTGGCAGATTAGGTTTAATGTTGATAAATGTAAAGTTATGCACTTGGGGGCTAAAAACATGAATGTATCATACATACTAGGAGCTGGGGGAAATCAATGGCGGAGAAGGATCTGGGTGTTCTGGTAGATCAAAGACTTAATAATAGCATGCAATGCCAAGCTGAGGTTCCCAAAGCGAGCAAAATTCTCTCTTGTAGTGAGAGAGGTATAGACTCCAGAGAGAAACATCATTTTGTCCCTGCACAAAACATTAGTAAGACCTCATCTGGAATATGCTGTTCAGTTTGGGCACCAATTCACAAAAAAGACATTGGGGAACTGGAGAGAGTACAGAGAAGGGTAACCAAACTAATAAGAGGAGGAGCTCAGCTATGAGGAAAGATTAGAGGAACTGAATGTATCTCCGTGAGAAGAGGAGATTAAGGGGGCATATGACCAAAATTTATAAATACGTAAGTGGTCCACATAGTAAACCTTGTGTAGAGTTATTAATTTTAAGGTCATCACAGAGGACAATGAGGCACTCTTCATGTATGGAGAAAAGAGATTTAACCTTCAAAAAAGGAAAGGCTTCTTCATAGTTAGAGTTGTGGAAATGTGGAATAGACTTCCTCAAGAGCTGATTCTGGCCAGCTCAGTAGATTGTTTAAAAAAATGCCCCGATTCTTTCTTAGATACAGATATTATAACTGGATACTATTTATAGGTAAAGTTGATCCAGGGTATATCTGATTGCCTTTTGGGGGATCAGGAAGGACCCCCCCCCCCCCCACTGAAGCAAACTGGATCATGCTTTATTGGTTTTTGTTAGCCTTCCTCTGTATCAACTGTGGGTATAGAATTGTGTACATATACAATTGTATATACAGTCATTTTTTTCAGCTAGACTAACTATGTAACTATGCAATGGGCAAAAAAGCAGACAGTGGAAATAGTAGTATAGTGGATGATCATTGGAGAAAGGCCCCTTTACACTTGTAATCAGTGAAGGACCCTAATACATACATGGTGATCAGTGTAAAGAATGTTTTTTCACTGGTGGTCAGTGGAAGATTTCCCCACCCCCATTTCCCATTTCTTGAAGTACTTTGCTTGGTTGAATTGGTGGCTTCCTTAAACTACACGCTTATCAACTATCTTAGATGTAATTACATGATAATCACTATAAGAATTTGTTTTAAATATTAAACAGAGCAGAGGGTGATAACATCATCCAGTATAGGTAGATATTGTAGACTACTTTTGCTGTCCTGCATGTTCTAGAAGTTCTATTTAGTCACTGAATGCCTAGATATCAAAAAGCCAGGTCAGTTAGTCAGATTTTCTGAAGTATGAACAGATAAAGTGAGTTCTTAGTGTACAGGATTTATATAGCTAAGAAGATTGTCATGAATGTCAGTGGTAATTTATCTGAGAGAAATATTCTGTTTATTGCTAATGGAACCTCTGGAGGAGCACTAGGGTTCCATGAAACCCTGGTTTAGAAAGGTTGTTCTAAAGCATCAACTCCTATCACATACCCTCTGATGCCACATTGTAAATTCCTGTATTTCTGGGTATGAGGTACACATGCACACTCACCATGCCCTTGGTTTGTATGTATATAGCTGACTGCTGTCTAATGTTTTTGTCACTATAGCTGAAATCAAATGTTCTAAAAGAGTATAGATTACACTATGGCACTATAT